CTCTGCAATGGTTTCGATCCTATCTGAGAGGTCGATCGCAACAAGTTACAATTAATGGTGCTCTTTCCAAAAAGTTTGGCCTAGAATACGGGGTGCCTCAGAGTTCATGCCTTGGTCCCTGCTTTTTACTATCTATGCTAGCAAACTTTTCAGTATTATTAAATCTCACCTGCCGTCTGCACACTCATACGCAGATAATGCTCAATTATACTTGTCATTTCGCCCGTTAGAGAGTACGTGTGAAGCTGAGGCGCTAGATGCTATGGAGAAATGCATCGCTGATGTTCGTTCACGGATGATTAATGATAAGTTGATGTTGAACGATGATAAGACTGAGTTTCTGGTGATCGGCACTAGCAAGTAGCTATCTAAAGTGTCTGTTAGTAGTATTAGGGTTGGTGACGTTGATGTAGTTCCGTATACTCGGCAAAAAAATCTGGGCTCCTGGTTCGACTCGCACATGGATATGGCAACGCATATAACAAAGACCTGTGGTGGTGCATTCTTTTATCTGTATAATATCCGACACATACGGAAATATCTTACTAGGGAATGTACTGAAAAACTGATTCATGCCTTTATTAGCAGTAGGTTAGACTATTGCAACAGTCTCCTCTATGAAGTTCCCGACCGTCACACGCAAAAACTCCAACGTGTCATGAATGCCAGTGCTTGATTGATCTTCTGCGCACCTAAACACTGTCATATTACGCCGCTCCTTTAACTACTTCACTGGTTGCCTATCCGCCTACGTATCGAGTTTAAAATCCTTTTGATCACCTTTAAAGTACTCTAGGGCTCAGCTCCTAAATAGTTCATTGATTTAGTTTCTGTTTTACCGCCGTCCCTTTATGATTTACGGCCAATTAACAAGGGAATTCTTCTGAGCACCCCAAAGCGTTTCACAAAAGTTACCATGGGGGATCGATCCTTCATGGCGGCAGCGCTACCGCTTCGGAACAGTCTTCCCGTAAGCATAGATAGATAGATAGACAGATACTGATAGATAGCTTTATTAAGAAGTAAAGTCTTTGCAGCCCCCGGGCCGGCTGAAATGTGACTTACTTTACAATGGAACCAAAAATTATCTATAAATATTTGATAACTACTATAAAAACCGTAAAATATAACCTAAAATAAAATACAAAAGGAGAAGTATGAACACCAAAATACTAATAATGAAGATTACTACTAATAATTAAAACTGTTCGCCATAATAAAAGTGTTTTTAAACCAATTTGTCTTACAAATCGGTAGTTTGAAGTATCTCTGGCTGCGGGTGCAATAAGTGGACCCGTTGCGTGGCGGCAGCAGATCATGGAGCTTGTGGCTTTGGTCCCTTACAATTTGGTCAAATAGAGCATTACTCAAGGCCTTCCTGCTCTCGTACAGTGACGTGATGTCTAGAGCTACGAGAGCTTCATCATAGGATAAGTCGAGTTGTATTATCCGCAACGCGCGCTTTTGCAACCTTTCCATTTCATTAGACAGATATTGCGGGAAAGAATGATGAAAAACTGGGCACGCATATTCTAATACAGGGCGTATACATGTTGTATAGAAAAGTAGCATATCCTTGGGTGGAACTTTAGCGCGCTTTTGCTGTTTTAGGAAGTACAGGCGCGTCGCAGCCTTTTTGCATATAGATTCTACATGCGCGTTACACCTGAGGTTGTCCGAAACTACCACTCCTAACAGCTTTGCAGACGAGACAACTTCGATTTGCTTATCATTGATAGTGATATGATCTACAGAACTTTCTGATCTAGAGAATGATATTCTCAGTTCTTTACATTTAGACTAGTTGAGTTGGAAACCATCAGCTTCCGACTGTCCTACAAGTTCATCTACGCGTAACTGCATGTAGCTAGTCTCGTTCTTCGATACTGATTCGACAAGAGTGGTGTCATCAACGTATTTCCAAAGAGTTGTGTCTGCTACAGAAAGATCATTTATCATGATAAGGAACAGCCAGGCGCCCAGTTTCGTCCCCTGTGGGACCCCTGCAGGAACAGCTTCCCACTCCGAGAAGCAATCGCGGCTTAGTTTTATCCTTTGCTTACGGTACATTAAAAAGTCTATGATCAGCTCGACATCAACCTTGGAATATCATAGGAGGAGAGCTTCCGCGCCAGAACACGATGGTCAATCAAATCAAATGCTTTCCGGAAGTCAGAGAGTACAGCTCTCGTAGTCGATCCATTTCCATCCGTTTACTTCGCCCAAGAGTGAATCATATTGATTAATGTATACGTAGTGCTGGATTTGGGCACCGTTCCAAATTGCTGTGGGTCGACCTTTGAGAGGACAGCGGGCTTGACATAAGTGTCGACAACGTAGTCTTTCGCTATTTTGACAGGTTTGGTGTCAGGGAGATGGGTCGAAGGTGTTTGTTTATGTCCTGCACAGGTCTTTGCTTGGGCACCAGCACAACATCTGCTTCTTTCCATGAGGGTGGGAGACGACCTTCGCGATAAGATGAATTGAGAATATCTGCTATCGGCGCTGCCAGTAAATCTACATTTTCTTTCAATAACCACCCAGGATGTCACCAGGACCATGCGCTTTGCTTCTGTTCAGTTTCATCAATTTCTTATAAACCAACTCGTTTGATACAACAAGCGCAGGTTGTATGGTTGCGCTGTTAGTTGGAAGTATGACGTAATTAGCAGGGAGCGGTGTGAAACTAAGCATGGGCGAGAAAAGGCCTTATTAATGATGTTGGCAAGAGTGATGTAATCTGAAGGCTCATACAGGTGTTGTAGGGACTTCGTGGCGTAAGATTTCTCCCTGAAAGCCGGGGAACAGCCGCTAAGCTTTTTGATTTCATTCCACCACGCGGACGGCTTACACTCCTTCAAGTGCTCTACCTTCGCTTGAAAGTACTTAGGCCGACACGCTTTTCGTTCGCAATTCACACGATTCCTTATTAGATCTTCTTGTTCCAAAAGTGATTTTAAACAGAAACTTAAGACTTTTTAGGCATTTTGTTAGTACAATTAGTTTACATTTAGATTTTTATACAGTTTTTCTGCAAATTACTTTTCTTATAACCAATGGCAAATAATGTAGTTTTCGTCTTTGATTCCATAGTGACTGTAAATAGGTTCTTATTTTTGTATTTAATGTAATGTTTGTAATGCTCTTTGGAAAAAAGCTATCTGTGTTCGGTATTAATATCTTACTACCTTCAACAATTCTGAGTCGATTCATCATGTTGTAACAATAAGATAACATATATTTAAATACACAGAACACTGAGTTCAGTTACAGCCAGATAAAATACATATAAACCGTGAAGGTACAAATTACGGCTAATTCAATAATTGTCTCTACGGGCCTAAATTGAATGGCATTTGGCAGTGGTCTTTAGTTTCTTTGGCAAAACGTCCTCTTATGGTTATTAACAGACTGGTGCTTGCCCAAATGGAGATCATCACAATATTTATAACCGCCAATATCACGTGCCTTTTCCATCGCCTTCGCCAAACAGCCATGATGGGCAAATTCTGATAGCGAGTTTCGACAGCTATAGACACACTCGTGAAAAACCATTCGATGAACAGTGGAACGGAAGTGGTAAGTGCAAATGACTGAAATAGATGTAAAGGTGAATTTCCACTTGTGTAAAAACACTGGTATAAATACAGAAGGCCATTCACCGAAATTATTGCACAGGATTCATACAACATGCCCATAATACAGATATCGGCTGCAAGTCTCTCTCGACGAGGTGTTCGAAAACCTCCAAGGGGAATTCTTCTTTTTTCCAGAATTTGGTTATAATAATGATCTATGATAACCATCGTGCTTCGCTCAATAACTTCCGCTATCCCATGAATGACCCCAATGAGGGCAACCGATCCCAGGCTCTGAAGATCCAATTGTAATAATCTCACCATTATAGCTGAACCACAGTAAAGGGGAACTAGCAACACAAATGAAGTTGCTGGATAACTGATCCGGTTCCATGATCGCTGAACACAAACCCGCGAAACTCCTTTGAGTAAAACTACAATAAGAGGAGCAAAAATAGCTATTATCAGCTTACCAGATTTTCTCTGTTCGTTGTATTTGGGGTATATTAAATTAGCTGCAATTACGGCTGATAGCTGAGTTGCAACACACGCCACTATCAAAAGAAGCAATGTCTTAATCTGTCTTTTTATAAGCCCTGGGTAAAAGTGTCTTGTCAAAAGGTAAAACAGTACACATACATCTATGTGGTATATAGCCATTGCAGGAATTTGTTGTGTAGGTGTCATTCTAGGCTGCGAAAGTCCTAAGGCTTGCATGGTAATTCGATAAGCTGAATCCAGTAAATAAAAACCAAAACACAAAAAGAACAGAGATGATTTTAATCCTGATATTTGGAACGGCCGAAAATAGCATATAATATTGAAAAAGCATGGCAAGTAGATAAACCAGACGGAAAATACTTCTGAAATGGTTATAGCCCACTGTAGCTTGATTGGAATCGATTCTTTGGGACGAGTTAAACAGATGAGCTGCGTTTGAAAGCTAAAATAAAAGACAGCAATCGAAGCCAGTCCAGCAAAAGACGCACCCAAGACGGAGATGAATAAACCAAAGTACATTGAATTCAAAACTGTATGAAAAATCGATGGTCTAAGATGTTTCCACGCCATTGCGGTTTCGTTGCTTTCTTCATGTGTTTGTCCAATGTCATCCGTTGAGCTTGCACTTGTGATTCTAACTTCCGGAAGGTTTGACGTGAAATAATCACTGGCAACTGCTTCACCGTTGCTGAATTCTTGGTAGATAACTTCATCGACAGGTTGAGCGTACCATTCTTTGCCCGTGTCTTCTAAAGCATTGTAGCCAAAGAGAGTTGAATGGTTCTCGCTTTTGGGAAAGTTAGACTGTTCAGCGACACTTCGTGTGAAGCTAAAAAGGATGTGGCCAAATATCTCTGCAATGGTATGACCAACCATTTTCTAAAAGCTGCAAATTAAAACGTTGTTTCCAGTACCTAAGAGTTTTGGAAATGGCAGTATGTAAAGCTAAGCCTTTTGGAACAGCTTTCGAAATCTTCCTGTGTTCGAACAGTTAAAAATCAAAACTCTGAAAAATAAATCGTGCTGAAAAGGTACAATAGACAGCACAAAACTGAAATAAGAAAAGCCCTTTCATCAAATTAACAAGAATCAGCGTGGTCACGCCTTGAGCCAACTCTGTTCAACAACATAATTACTTATTAATTGATAAAAAAACCTTGAGTTTAGGGTAGCACCTGTTTTAGTACAATTATTGAGTGATTTTCTGTTTCCGAGCCGGATAGTTGCTTATCAGCTCTGTCAGGTTAACCGTGGATGTCACTGAGTTTCAATTTTAACTTTCATTATTCATCTATCATCACCAATTAAACTTTCTCAGGTTCGCTATTCAATTCGGTGCTATTAACATTCTGCTGTGAAATATTTATGAGCGAAATTAATTACAAAAACAAGAATTTCTTACTGGTGCCAAGGCTTTCTGAAATTCCTATGATTGCTTCCCTGTGGATTTCAATTTAAGTCTGGGATTAAGCTGGTTTGCCGAAAAAAAATAAATAAATAAATAAATAAACATATGATAATTGAATCAAAATATAACTCTGCTTCTGATTGGCTTAAATCCAACGGCTAATTTTTCATAACCAGCTAGTGTTGACTAGCGCGAAGATGAGGTTGACATCAATTCCTCATCTGGAAACTGCTGATGCGAGCCTGAACAGACAAATGTTCTGGAACGGCAAATTTACAGAAGCATCTTTTGAAGTTAGAACGCTGGGCTTATAATAAACGCCAAATCCAAAGTAGCATTAAAGTTGAAAATATGCCCCTTAGACATCATCCTCGGAGACCCGGGGACAGTCAGTCGGGTCAGGAGAAAAGGCGAGACGAAAGTTTTCAAGTACGGGCAAAAGAGCCCCTGGGTACCGACACTCACCGAACTATTTCCAAAAATTTAAGCAGATGCCGGCTCCTGATTGGGCACACAAAATGCTTTGCATTATTGTGCCCAATCAGCGGACAGTTTCTCCTGAGTTCTTTTCGTGAGTTCGTACAGGACCGCTATTGTCTCGATCACGGCTTGTCTGTCTCATGCACCAGAGAAATGTACGCATTCGTGAAACTTTCAGTTTGACATAAAGTCCCCATCTGATTTCAAAATACTGTCTGCACGAAAACCAAAGACGCTTTTCCAAAAAGACAAGCTTGAGTTTACAACAGGTATTCACGCTTGCATCGGTCACGTCTTGCGTAAATGTTAAGGAGTTTTTAAGAGATACCATGGAAAAGTGAATTCACATTTTTTCAGCGTCTCTCGTAATCCCAACTCGCTTACTTTGTCAAATGCAAGCGAACTCTTCTGGAGCTGAATTTCTATCAACCATATCTAAGTTCATAATAATAATTATAATAATAATAATAATTTAGTCACTTATATTGCGCAGGTATTCTTAAAAACGATCAAATGAGCATTACATTAGTAATAAAAGCATGAAAAAACAACAATAACAACAACAACTGCAAACCTAGTAGTGTTACAGTAAACAAAACAAAACAAATATATGCACTTCCACCATAAGAATCTAAAATATCGATATGTAACAATTAAAATTTATTCAACCCGAAGCAAACTTAAAAAGATACGTCTTAAGATTGCTCTTAAAAGTACGCAAGTTTGGAATATTGCAAAGCTCACGCGGAAGAGTATTCCATAACTAGGGCTCAGCCTCCTGGAACCTATCGCCAATCGTGAGCTTCGTTCTAAATGTTGACGATGCTTGCAAATCCCACCTGATGATCTGAGGTTATATGTGCCTTGCGATTTCAAAGAAACTAAGTTCTGAATGTATGTAGGGGCTATACCATGGATAGCCTTAAATGCAAATAACAAAATCTTAAAGTGAATGCACTACTTTAACGGAAGCCAATGTAGCTCATACATTAGTGGTGTAATATGGCCGAAGTGCGGAGCGCAGCAAACAAGCCTTGCCGCAGTGTTTAAATCACGCTGAACCTTGCTAAGCTGCCAGGCAGGTAGACCATACAAAAGGCTATTGCAGTAGTCAACGCGAGAAGCAACGAATACATGCACCAAGGACTTAGTTTCGACGGCGCTTAGGAACTTGCGATTACGACTGATGTAATGTAGATGAAAGAAAGCTGAGCTACAGAGCTTGCTAATATGAGTAGACATACTAAGTTGATTTCATGAAGAGAATGAATTTTGTCATTGCTGACAAAAGGTGAAATTAGGCATTTTCACGGGTAGTCGTGCATTTGACGTAAAGAAATGTACAAAAGATCGTGATGCACGTGCAAAGTTGTTGTTTTGCTTTGTCAAGCTATTGCTTATTTGACTTTCTCGTCGCCGCCGCATCTTAAGCCCCGTCCAAACGGACGCAACATTGTTGGCCAACAACTCCCAACATTGTTGGATGTTACATGTTGCGTCCGTTTGCACACCCTGTTGCATGTTGTTGGATGTTACTGCGTGTTGTTGCACAAAGTTTGAGACCGGTCAAACTTGTCAGCCAACAACTTCCACCTTTTTTTTTTGTTCCGTGATCGCCGAAGCCTAGCGCAACAATGAGACGAGGTCTCGAACCGAGAAACGATGTTCTCACAACTTGCAAAGCGGACACCCAGAGTGGTGGTCAGCGGATAATTACAGTAAGTATTTTTCCCACCGTAAATATTTTAGAAGCAAGAATTGAAGCGAACCGGCAGAGGAAATCAGAAATGCTTAAAAAATTGAAAAAAATTATATCATGCAACTTTGTTTTTCTTGCATATCGTATTTGTCTTTCGGTACTGAAATGCGGGGGAAACTAAAACGCAACCGTGCGGGATCTTCGACAACAACGCGCTCGATGGATATATTTATAGGTTACATCGTTTTTGCCGGGCAAGGATAA